GGCGCAGCAGCGGACGCACATCAAGACGGAGCAGCTGAGCCCCAGCCACTACAGCGAGCAGGCGCAGGCGTCGCCGCCGCTCGCCTACGGCTCCTTCAACCTGCAGCACTACGGCTCCTCGTACCCGCCCATGACGCGCGCGCAGTACGAGTACACGGACCACCAGCCCGCCGGCGCCTACTACAGCCCCGCGGGCGCCCAGAGCGGCGGCCTCTACTCCTCCTTCGGCTACATGAGCCCGGCGCAGCGGCCCATGTACACGCCGATCGCGGACAGCGCCGGCGTGCCCTCCATCCCGCAGACGCACAGCCCGCAGCACTGGGAGCAGCCCGTCTACACGCAGCTCACGCGGCCCTAGGGCGGCCGCCGCGCGCCCCCAGCATCAATAATGCCACCCCTAAAGACCGTGACCACAGAAACGCCGAGGCGGGCGCGCGCGCATCTGCACTAGGACATCCTCCCGAGGACCGGCGCAACTCGGTGCACGTGCCCGGGCTGGAGCTCAGCCCCCAGCACAGGGACCTCCTTCCTCACCAAGCGGCTCCTTTGTCGGGACTTTCCTAACAGGTTCTTCTTTTTTTTAAAGCGGTAATTAAAAAGGCAAAAAAAAAAAGGGGGGGAATAAAAATGAAAAAGAAAAAAAAAAAAAACCAAGAGTCCTCTGTGAGGAATATTCTCTATTTTAAATATTTTTTTAGTATGTACTGTGTATGATTCGTTACCAATTTGAGGGGATTTATACCTATTTTTTAGAGATTTTTAAAATGCTCTTATTTTTCCAACAGCTACAAGTGACCTGTAGTGGAGCAGTCCTAGGTTTCCTTGCAGCCAGAGGTATTTTTGTATAGATAAGCGTCTCTTTCTCTAAGTAAAGAAATAAAAGTTAAAAAGCGCTACCGCGTGCATGGAGCTGGGACCAACCCTCTTGCTCGGGGAGCAGCCCCGCGCCACAAGAGGCCTTATTTTTCTAACGCAGAACTAGCCAAGCCAGCCAGGAGGAGATTTTAACTTTATTTTTTAATAACCTTGAGCCTTAAGAAAAAAAATAAATAAAAATGAACAGCAGAAAGTGCTGTGGAGAAGCCTTAAAGCAGCCCTGGGCTGGGGGCTCCCCTGCTGAGGCTGCTAGCGCACGTTGGAGACAGCCGAGAGCCTTTAAATTATTTATTTTGAGCTAAGAGCAGGTTGGGAATCACAGCTTTCCTCATTCTTTTTAACCTCCCTTCTATTTCAACCCCTGGGAAAGCGAGTTTGTCTGCTGGAGCGTTATTGGGAGGTAACCGTGCCTGTTAAATTATGGTCTAAACTGTAACCAGTCCTTTATTTATCTCTTTAATTCCTTTTTTTTATTATTATTATTATTATTCTTTTTGGAATCCGTGTCCTGGGTTTGTACAAACTTGTGCTCTGCCTTTTCTCTTCGGTCTAAGGATAAACTGGAAAAAAAAAAAAAAGAAAGAAACCTTGTACAAACTAAAGATTGCAAATGTAGCGTATCACTGAATCATTTGCCTTGTTTTCTGCCTCAGCTCTCAGGGCCACGCGAGCGAGGAGGGGAGCGCGGTGGCACCGCGGGTGGCACCGGCTCGGCCTCCTGTCCCCGCGCCGGGGACAGGGACCTTACTGGAGCTGGGGCTGAACAGTTAAGGATTGCTTTTTAAAAAAGACAGCAAACTTTTTTTATTTAAAAAGAATATATTTGTTAACTTTTTTTTTTAGGGATTCAGTAGAAGAAAGAAAAAATCTTAAAGCACTCTTATAATATGGCATCTTTCTATTTCTGTATAAAACGCAGATCTTTTTAAAGTATTTCTGTAACTTAAAAGACCTGTCACTTAAATCATATTTTGTCTTTAGGTAAGTTTTTGTTTTGTTTGCAAGATCCTTCTCTTTGTGAAACTTACCATTTTTGTATATTATTGTTTGCAATAAATATACATTGTATTAAAAGTTAACCCCCCCAATGGTGTCTAATTTATTAGCACCTTTGAGCGAAGCTGGGGCCAGGCTGAGACCCCCGGGGCCAGCGGGAAGGGACCCCCGTCCCGACCCAGGTTTTTACCTGTTTTCAGTGCGAGTGTCACTGCATGCTGCCAGGCGCTTTGGGGAAGTGACAGCGAGGGCAGAGCTGGTGACAAGCGGCTCCTGCACCAGCACAGCCCTTAAGGGAGTTAAGTGCAGGGGCYGYGTTTGCTCCRGGCATCAGTGAGGCCAGTGGCACTGTCCCCTCGGGCAGGGGGCCCTTGGGGACGTTCTTCCCAGCCCTGCGGCACTTTGGCCTTTGCTGCTGCCTTGCCAGGAGGCAGCAGGAGCTGCTGCAGGCTCTGCCGCTGGAGAAGCCCCCTAACCCACGGCGGGGACGGGACATCACCCGTCAGGGAGCTGGAAAACTTCCCGAAAGCAGGATGGCCTCTGCCGGCCTCCCCGGAGCTGATSCCAGGTGGGAAGCCCTTGAGCATCCCCAGTGCTTCCCAAAGGGCCACAGGGGGGTTCTAGCTCATCCCTCTGGGATGCAGAGCCCCAGCACTCCCAACACCAGCACCCCATCCCTTGGGAGCCTCCGTGGCCCAGTCCAGCCACGCTCAGCTCTCCACAGGGATCTGCTCCAGAGGAACCGCAAAAGCAAAGCTCATCTGCGAGCCATGGAGCCGGACACGGGGCTCCAGGAAGCTCCGGGAAGGACAGCACGGAGGCCCCGGGAAGCCTGGAAGGGGAGCGGGCAGCAGGAGGGAGCGGGCGGCCAGCGGGAACTCGCGCAATGCTGCGGGGCAGGTCGGAGCGGCGGCCGGCGCCGGGCGCTCCTGCAATGCGGCGCGGCGGGTTTGGGAGCCGGGAGCGCCCGGAGTGCCGCGGGCCGGGGCACGGCCGGGGCACCCGCTGCCCCACGGAGCGGCAGCAGCCCCCGGGAACAGGTCAGGGACACAGGGGAAATGGGGGGAAAAAAAGCCCCAAATGCCCCAAACCTTAAGCGTCTTTCTTGCCAGTTCCGCCTGCCTTGCGGTGGTGGCAGGTCGGGCACAGGGGATGCGGCAGCTCAGGATGCCAACGCGGAGACACAACCACCAGGTTCTAGAAAAGTTACTTGAAATATGGAAAAAAAMCCAGCAGCAGCTAAGCAGGAGCAAAGGGAACAAGCCTCCAAAATCACATTTCTAATTAATTCCCTGCCCAGGAGCTGCTCTCAGTTTTCAGCGACTGAAACGTTTTGCAGAGCGAAGCCCGGGAGCAGCGAGGGGTGGGAGCGGAGACGGCAGCGAGTGCCCGGCCGAGCACCGCGAGGATGAGGATGAGGATGAGGAGGGACCTGGGCTGCCCTGCAGGGCCCGGCAAGGGGCCCATCCCCACGGAAGAGCCCTCAGACAGGGGGCATTTGCCCATTACTTCCCAGCAGTAATTCCTTCCTTGCTCGGAGCTGCCCAGGACTCAGCTCCTAGGCCTGGATGCAGCAAGAGCCGCATCCTCCTCCTCCTCCAAAACCCCAGGAGGGCAGAGAAGGGCCCGAACCCCAACTTGTGGTACCAGAGGGGCTGTTTTGGCCCCAACCTGGTGTCCTCCTCCACAGAAGCCGCTCAGCAGGCAGCACAACCCTCGCTGCCGGAGGACACAGCCCCAGGACCTCATCCCGGGTACGGAGACACTCGCGTCCCCCAGGCTCCGCACACCTCGACACGAGTCGGGGGAAAGCAAAGACCTCCTGAATCCCATTCTCCTTCCCCCAACGCGAGGATTAATTGCACGTGTTGTCTGGGCACAGACCAGCTATCACCGAGCAAAGTCTCACTCCATAAATTTTAAACTGCTAATAATGGGGCTGGACAGGAGTTTTAAAGCTTCAGTAGACAGTTTACAATTAACCTACTCCTGTCAGCTGGAAAATCACCCTCCAATGCGATTCTCCTTCACGTCTGACTCGCTTGGAGCCAGAAGCTGCTTTAGGAAGGCCAGAAGGGTGGATTCCGGCTCCAAAGGATCCCGTGCTCCCGGGAAGGGCAGGTCCAGCTTGGACCTGCGCTCCCACTATTTGGGTGGGATGTTGGCACTGGGCTCCTTGCAGGGCTGCAAATTAGAAACCTCTTTTCCCAAATTTTGCAGATCTTTGGATTCCTCCTGGTCATGCTTTTGTCATCTGTCCCAAAGGGACAAAACATGGCTTGAAACTCCTTGGATTCAGTGGCCGTGATGCAACTCGGTGTCACCTGCCCCGGTGCACGCGCTGCCCAGGCCACGAGCCTTTCCCAAGCTACTCTTACCGAGGAGAAAAACTTGCTGGGAATAAAGGGGAGGGTTCCCCTGGTCGGCTGCACGTGCCCTTGGTGGAGCTCGGGATCCAACCTCAGAGTCTGCAGCTGCATCAAGACCAAGACTCGTGTCCCTTGTCACGGCCACAAGGTGAAGCTCCAGAAAGGGCCAATCTGAAATTCCTGGAGAGAGAAGGGGAAAAAAAAAGCGATAGCAAATTCCATTAGTGCAAGGAAAAAACGTTGGGAAGGGGAGGCGGGGGGGAGGAGACATCCAGTCATTTTCAGTGATTAAAAGGCAAATTTTATTCCCCGGGGCCCTTGGAAGCGCGGGGGCGTTGCTATGGTTTCACACCCACCGGCTGGAAATGACAATATTAGCAGGGCGACCTGGTAATTGGAAACTGTGCCCCCAGGTCAGGCCGCGGAGAAAATAAAGAGAGATTAGGGAGCCCTAAAGACGCCCAGAATGCTGCGGGCTCCTGCGCTCCCCACCTTTTATAAGGGCCCATTTAAATGCAGATTATGACTTTCCACCTGGAGCTGCTAATCTGTCTCACAGCCAGATCAAACAATACGGGGTCTCTCCGCGCTGGGGGACTGGGCGCTTTCCATGGGTCTGTCACCCGCTCCCGCCACCCCGCTTTGCCCAGGGCAAAGCCCAGAGTTTTGCAATCACAGGTGGTTGTTTTTCCACCYGGGATGTTGAGACCCCAATATCCTGGCAAAACCAGCCCCAGCTTTCCCTCRTGGTACAAAACAAGTGGGAGCAATCAAGCTAATGAGCACAGAGGTGGCGTTCCCTGCATTTAGGGAGGGAAGGGAGCACCGCCAAGACCAAGCCCCGGCGCTTCCAGAATGGGGGACAACGGCACAGAAATCCCTCAGATGAAGTTATCACAACCGCGAGGCGCTCAACCAAGGCGGACAAACGAACAGAGCCGTTTGTTCCATTTGGGAAGGGGCCGGGGGACAATCCAGGTCACTCCTGCTCTTGGCCGGTCGCCTGTCACTGGAAGGAACCCGGGAGAGGCCGGGGGACCCTGGGAATCRTTATCCAGACCAAGAMAGGAGCAGGGAGGGCTGCGGAGCCCAYGGCTGCGCATTTTAATGGGTGCATTTAATTCTCACCACGCAGGGCACCCACCATCAAGCACCTTCTGCAACTGCTGACGCAGCAGGGAACATTGTCCACTTCCCCGAAGCAAAACATGAGGCCTCGAGACCCAATTTGTCCTAGTAAAAGGTAGTGACGAGGCTGGAAATGGTGTGGGGATTTCTAGGTGCCATCTGGCCAACTCTTGGGTGGGTCTCCAGTGTCACCACTGCCACCTCTGTCACTTCATGGAGCTCAAACCCAAGCAGGCTCAGTCACCTTCCTCTACGGACAGCTTCTAGTGCTGCCTGTTCCACAGTCACCTCAATATCTCCAAAGCAGCAGGGGGAAAAAGAAAGGGAAATGAGATCCCGAAGACCATGCAGGACACAGGGGTAACTGCTCTCTTGCTCCCATTCACTATTCTTTGCAAAAAGRCTCTTATCTAAGAGGAAGGGAAAAGCAAAAGGGAATCCTCAATCAATAAATAAATCAATTTTCGAAGGCAGACCAGCTTCCAAATGCACCTAGACCAGGCTCTGGTCTCGAGCTGCCTCCTTTGCACCAGCAGCAAYGCGGGCAGGACAAGCAGCAGCCCTGGAACGCAAGAAAAGCGAGACTGGGCCCCCCAAAACAGCCCAAATCAACTCCTCCCGGCCTCAAAGCCGCCTGCCCCAAGCCCTCCCCTTCCTCCCCCCTTCCCAAACTGTCATGCTTTATTTTGTTTGGGTGGATTTTCTTTCTCTGCTCTCCCCCTGCCCCCTTGCAAACAGATAGCTTTCCCATGGAGATCCAGCACGCTCTGTGCCTATTAGCATCCTTGTGCATAATTAGAGCCGAGCGCATTGTCATGCAAAGCGCCCGCGGATGACAACACTTCATCCCCGACGACGCAGAAACGCGGCGAGGAAGTTTCTCACACTGCTTTTAGCCAAGGCAAACGGGGCCGCGCACGGCCTGCAGATTTTAATTAATGGATGGGCGCTGGGCTCCCCTTGCCCGGCTCGAGGGAAGGGCCCCAGCCACCCGTGTCCGCCCCGACTTTAACCGTGGGCTCCGCRTTTTTGTTTAATACTTGCAGCTCATTAAAATAAATTAAAAACTCCCCCTCGCCCCGAACAGTCACGGAATCATTTCCCACCATCCACAAAGGATAGCACGGCTAAAGCAGGGTTTGCTTTGCAGCAATCAGCCTCTCACCGTGCCTGTGCTGCTCTCCCCGATGGCTGGGGCACGGCCAAAGAGGCTCAGGAACCTCTTTGCTCCGGTGCAAACRTCTCCGGGTCCTAACGGGTCTTCTGGCTTTGTGGGTCTGCCTTGTTGGAGCTGGATATTGGTGGGGTCCCTCGGGACACGTCACAGAGATGGGTCTCAAACCCTCGGCTGCTTTTCCCTCTGAGGTGGAACTGCCAAGGAAGAACGGGATGGATGTTAGGAGCATTTTCTAACAAACACCAAAGCCCCCTTTTCAGAAGGGCTGGAAACTTCCCGAGGATGAAACCCCAGGGACTCGGCAGCTCCTTTTGCGCAGACTTTGGGAGCCTCCAAGGAGAACGCTCAGGAACACTGCAGTGCCAGCAGCTCCCCAAAACATCAGCCTGGACATTCCCTGGGACAACTCAAGGCACCCGCTCCCCTCGGCCAGCACCCAGCGCCAGGGCTAAGAGGAGGCCGAGCGGAGCCCTGAGCGCGGGAGGCCAGGGCCACCTTGGACAGCGGAGCCCGGGATCCCGCCGCGCTCCCGCCTCCGTCCCGGCCCCTGTCCCCTCTAAAGCAGCCACAGGGTTTGCAAGGCCCCCTCCTGCCAGCAGCCCCAGGTGCCCCCCGGCCTGGGCCGGGAAGGATTCCCCATCCGGAGGCGATTGCAGAGGCAGGTGAACGTGTCTGAGAGCAGTTTTCCATCCGCTTCCTTGCAATGGAATTAAAACCCCCTAATAAGCAAACTAACAGGAGAAGGAGGAGCCGGGGGCAGAGCAGGTCTGCGCAGCAGAGATGGGTAATTGAAACGTGTTGAAATGATCTGGGGAGGTCCGAGGCTACGAGGCGCCCGGCGGGTCCACGTTTTCTGAAACCGCTTCAAGAAAACTAAGAATGAGAAAACAAAACCCAAGATTCCGACAGGTGACACAGAAAGCCCTTGAAGAAGGGCAGCGCCCGCTGTGACCGGCACGGGACCGGGCAGCCCCGCACGCCRACCCGCAGGGCATCTGCGAGTGGGACCAGAGCTCCCCACGCTCCATCCCCGCGCAGATCCCTCCTCTCCGCCCGCTCAGCTGCTCCCTCCTCCATTCACCCTGGGAAGGAGAAGGAATAGCCCCGAGAAGATAAATATTCTCTAAAAATCCAAGAAAAGAGGAAGCTTCCAACATACTTCCAGTGATGCAGAAAGTGACAGAGCTTTGTTTAGACTTCCTCCTAATTCACATTTTATACTGACCTCTCACAATTCATATCCAATCCATCTTCCCCCTTATTTGTTTTCCCCTTCCCCCTCCTTTTTTTTTTTTTTTTGAAACCTGTTTAATCCTTTTAAGTTCAAGGATTTGAAAAGCAAATACTATAAAAGATGAAAGGTGCGTTGGAGGAAATCAACTTTGATAAGAGGCTTTTATGGCTTGTAAACCTTATTCCGGCCCTTCGGCTTGAAAGGCAACGCTAATTTTAAGAGCCTTATGCAAGCCTCACATTGAGCTTTAAAAAAAATAATCATCATCATCATCATCACCCTATCGGCCTGGAAACGATGGGCACCTGGTGAAGCGGCTCCTCATCACAGGACACCGAAGGCTCCGGAAGATCAGAGGAGCAGCAGCAGCGCCCGGCACCTTCCGCAGCTTTTCCCACCTGGATTTGCAGGGCAGCGCAGGCTCCGTAAGGGCCTGGGGATGCTAACGAGGGGCACTAAGGAGCTGCAGGGGAGTGTGAGCAGGAGGCTGCATCACCCTCACAGGATGGGGAACAAGCTCAGAAGGGCACCCTGGAGCGGTACAGACCCCATTCGGGACACCCCAGAGCACCCAGCAAAGCCTCGGACTTTGTGTTTTACACCACGAGCCACCACGTTGCCACCAGCGCCTGGGGGTGACGAGCCACAAGCCGCCGCCACCCTGCTTTGGGGCCGCTGCCCTCTGCCTTTCCCATGGGAAAAGCTTCCGACGGAGGGCTCGGAGCGGCCGCGCATGGGGACATGGGGACACAGGGGCCCTTCCCGCAGGCTGCCCCCGCTGGCCCCATGCACGGAGCCCTGTCGCAGCGCCAGCCCTTGAGTCAAGTAATTATTAATATCGTAATAAAAATCCTCTCCCTCGGCCGTGTTCGGCTTTTATATCTCCCCAGAGCTCGGGAGGGACTTGCGGATCAGCTCCTCAACCTTTGTGCCTCTCCTCGGGAGGCTTCAGCATCTTTTCCAAGAACTTGTGTCAGGAACTAAMGCAAAGGGAGAGGGGAAATAATAAGAAACCCGCTTGGGGAGTGGGAAGGCTTCAAAAAGGTTTTGGGTCGGGTCCTGCATGAGGTTTCGGACCTCTGGGAAAATAGGGGGTGGAGGGAAAGGAGGAATTTGCCTCCACTCTTACGGGCTGCTCCATAAAATCCACCAGAGAATCCTTCTCTGGGGACTTTTACAACTTCCTCAGTCACCAAGGGCCAATTTCCGAGTATTCCCAGTGCTTCTGGGAAGGCAGGAGCTTCCCCTTTGCTCCAAAGTCCCCGTGCAGCCCGAGGTCACTCGTTGTGCTCCGGGTGGCACTGACGGAGCAGGGTCACTCCCCAGCCCGGAGCACTGAAAATGCCCCGGTCCYGCTAAGCAGTTCCCTGCCCCTTTCCCCATCCCCTCCTCTCTCCCTGCTCTCATCCCGCTCGCTTCACATGTCCTTTCCAGCTCCAAAACCCATTGCTCATATTTTGGCCAGGGGCCCCGCAGCATTTTGCAAGGATTTGGGTAATAAATCAGCTACCTGCAGCTGTTTCCTCACTGCCACCCAGGCGCAGAAATCCTGATGGTAAAGCAGCAACTCACCTTTCCTAAGGCTTGAACTTAAATTAACACAAAACGAGGCTCATCGAAGCCAGGCGCAGAYCTCCCTTCCCCATCACACTGCTCGTTGTCATCCTGAGCATCTAAAAGGTCAGAAAACAGCAAATTGGAGGGGGATGAGGTCTGGGATGAGGACAGGCACCCGGAAAAGGGACACAAGGAGCTCGGTGCCAAGGCATTCCCAAGGCACTTCCCACAGGAGCCACATCCCACCTGGAGCGACGCTGTTCAGCCAGGGTTTATAGGATAAGATAAAGGATTGATGGGGAATCTCCACGACCATCCCGCTTTGCTATTCCGCATCTGTGAAGCTGTCAGCCCCACAGCGCAAGAGAAAACACATCGATTTCCAGGGAAGTGCCAAGGAAAGTGCCTAACGGGAACCACAAGATTTCTGCGACCTCCTAAGATGTTGAGAAAGAGGGTACTTAAATGCAGAACAAGGCAGCTGAGCCACGGATTACATGATACAAACAGCAAAAYAAGAGTAGAAATGGAAAACGTGTGTAATAGGAGGCTAAAATTATTCAACTATTCTGATATCTGCTATCCAGAAAGAAAATATATATTGAACAATTTGCACATCCCGATGACAACAAATAAAGAATAACAGAACTCCATTTCATACCGCCCTTTCCTTTGCCCTGGTGCAATCCTGCATGGATGAAGGCTCTTGCTTCACCCACTCGGATATTTATTCTGTGTAGAAATAAGGGGACTGTCTCTGCATAGGGGCCAAGGCCAACACACGTGAGGGCTGAAAGCAACGGACCCCATCGAYGCTCACCCAAAACCATGAAGTTAAGACCTCTTTTTGAGGGAGTCAGAAACATTTACCAATACCTTCATGCACAGAAGTCAGAGAAGCCATAAGCACAAAAAGCCCAAACCCCCAAAGCAAATGCAAAGCATTGCATTCAGTTCTGCATTGCAAATCAACAGTGCTTGTAAATGTTATAATTGGATCTTCAACATCTCAAGCAGTTTTCAAAGCCAAAAATACTTCCAGCAGTTTTAAAATACCAGAAATTACAAGTGAAATCAACTCAGATTTTTTATTTCTGCTATCCAGGCTGAAAAAATGCCAATAAATAAGAACATTAATGAAAATAATCAGGGAGAAATTGCTAGGATTTTTTTTAAACACCCACACATCTCAGTTGCTTTGGGAGAGCCTTTCCCTCCCGGCCAGCTGCGGGATTACAAGTTCTCCGCCACAACCACTCACCCAAACTCCAGGTCTTTGAGTGACCCAGCTGGAGAGGGACCATTTGATSGCAATACTGAACCACCACCCAGCTCCGGTTAATTTTCCATGCAGGAAACTCATTAGGTTGGTCGGGCTCCGAAGCTTGGAGCCTCAGGTGGGTGCCGAGGAGGAAACCAGCTGCAGTCCCCGCACGTGTCCGGCCAGAGGCAGAACCCCCCGAGGAGCCTCCAAGGGCGAGGACGAGCTTGGAGCACCGCCGGCATCCGCAGGACGCAGATTCCCAGAGCTTTAATATTTAGCATTTACACTATACTATTTATACAAAGCTTTAATATCAAGGAGCCAATGGAGCACCTCCGGACCCCGAGAGCCATCCCATGGGACCTCCAGCCTCTCCACACAAGTCATCCCTCTTCCCGCTCGGCAGCGCCAYCGAATCCGTGGGGATCAGCTAGTGTTATGCGGGGGAAGGAGAGGCGAATCCCGCAGCTGTTTTGTTAAGCAGCCCAGCGCTGCAAACACAATTTGCTCACAGTTATTACAACGTGCCTACAACATTTGGCCACCAGACTTGCTCCCTATTTGTTTTTAGAGGACGAGCGATTGCTCAACAGCTGTTGTGTAGGCCTGGTTAGCCTAAAAAACAACAAAAAAATCCGCCCTTCAGCATATATCCAGGGAGACCAAGGGGCTTTTTCACTTTTTTATACTACCAGCAGCACCAAGGGATTCTTAGCAGGATCAGAACCTCGTGGCAGCACCACACGTATCGGGAGAAGCCACCACGGGGCTGCAGCCGGATGGGGAGCACGAGGGAGGAAGAGGGGCCATCGTCCCCAGCCGCTGAACTGCAGGTTTTAGGTTGTCAGAGCAAGGTCCTCTGCACRTGGGGCATGGAGACGTTTGCAACCCGCGAGCAACAGGCGCTCCCAGCGCTGCAGTCACTGCCCGATGGCTCCTGTCCCCCGGGACGGCCGCGCAGGGCACAGGAGCCGCCTCTTCCATGGGGAGGCTCCACACAGCCCCGTCCCGCCGCCTTCCCGGGAACAGGCGCACTTATGCAGAGCCCACGCTCCTCATGCCCAAGGACCTCGCATCCAGACTAACCTTCTGGCTGCAACAGCAAAGCAAGTTGCACAGGTTACATAAAGAACTGCAAC